ATATATATATATATATATATATATATATATATATATATATATATCACACATAATAGACACAAAGATATGTACAAATGTTAATTAAGTATAATCCCTGAAAAATAGCACACATACACACACAGGCACACATAGACAAATACAATAGACATACACAATTAGAGAGAATAAGTAACAAATATACATATAGAGAAGTATTTAAGGATTTTCTTTTTTCTTTTCTTTTCTTTTTTTTTTTTTTTTTTTTTTTTTTTTTCTTTTTTTTACATAATTAATTTATCAAATATTATGTGTTCGAAAAATGAGCGAGCAACATGGATAAGAGATAAAAGAGACAGACAAACGAACGCACACAAATATGAATAAAGAAACATTGCTGGTGGTGGTGGTGTTGGTGGTGTTGGTGTTGGTATACAATCAAAAAATTGAATGTATAAAGTGATATGTACAGTTAGTTATTTTATATACACGTCTAACCATACATTTTACTTAAAAAATTTTACATATTCATACACATAATATATACACACATATATATATATATATATATATATATGTATATACGAGTGTGTGAAAGTATTAGTGGCTAATATGTTTTTGTTTTTTTTTTTTGGAAATTGTCTTCATTTTCTCAAGTATTCGCTACTCATAGTTTTTATCTCTTTGCGATAATACAAGATTTTATGTTATAGTCATTAAAGGAAAAACTGTCGTTTTATTAGCATTTCTTCAATAAGGAAAAAAGCTCTGAAATATTTAGTAAATAAATCAAAAAAAAAAAAAAAAAAAAAGTGTACGATGAAAAAAACATTAAATCTTGTTTTTTAATATAAACGTTTTCTTCTTCTTGTTTTTCTTATTTGCTCAAATTCGTGTAACGATATATGTACGTGACGCAAATTACAGGCGAATACTTAAACATAAGATTAATAGATGAAATTTTTGTATGAGAATGTGTTAGTGGTGTGCTATTTGTATTTATGTTTGTCTATATTTAGTATCAGTATTCGCGAAGACTGATTCAAATATTTAACAGAATTGATGGGAAGATCTTCCCTCTGATATAAACTTGCTTGTGTTTTTTTTTTTTTTCTCTAACAATTCCCATCCACCTGCCTTCAGAAGTAACATACATTTTTCGACTTTCATGTACTATTCATATAAAAGCGATTTTTTTCTATATATAAAAGTCCTGTGGCCATCAGCTGGGGCTAAGAAGTAACTTTGATATTCGCAGCTAAGTTTAGATAAATTCGTTTATTCCTTTAAGGTTAAAATCATGTTCTTGCCTGATGGCATGAATGATACATATTTTACCTTATATTTTCTCAAATACCACCTGAATATTTCATGGTATGAAACTATTTTATTAAAGTCGGTTGCTATTAATAACTGCGAAATTTGGCATAGAAAGAACACGCTTTCAATAACCACTATTTCAACCTAATGACATGGCTTGATCAGGCTTAATTCGTTAATTACATTTGAAGAATTGAACAGGAATCTTAGCGGAGTTGCAGCAGATGTTGACTATATTTCGCCGTTCTATCGTTTTGTTCGCAATAAATTACCGATGAAGCCACTTACCCAATAACAGGTGGCCTGCAATAAATTTTAGAGGTGCAAATAAATAGGTTCTCCCGCTAAAACTGGTTGCTAAAGCAGAATGCGAAAACGCGTTAAGCTACAAAACACTTAGGTAGTGGCTTGCGAGCTTTGGTTCAAAATATTGCAGTAGTGAAAAGGATGAAAGTTCGCATACGTCCCTCCCACTCAGGCAAATGCAAACCAGGAAATAATTTTTTGCACCCGCTATATTGTTCACACCTTGTCAGCAGTTCACAGAGCTTGAAGATTGCGATTATCGATCGATGACTATTTCGCCTTCAAACACTTAAGTTTCTACCGTTAGGACATCCATATGCCACACGATAAATGGGAAAAGACCGCAGATAATGATGATGATGATGATGATGATGTATATTTCGATTATTAGGCTTCGTAATAAGTATATTTTAAATAGTTGAAGTTAAATTTATTTGTACGCCTACTGAAAACCTAAAAGAACGTTTTGAAATGCATTACGGATACATTTCAGAGTTAATAATACCTTCGAGATCAAAAGCTGTCTGATTAAAAGCGAATTAAAATGTCTACCTGAAACGATGTATGTATATATATGAGAATTCGCTTATCTTCTCTCGCCAATCGCTGGATGACATGAGAAAAATCTATGAACTTTATACCCATCAGGCATCGGGCAAGAAGTATTTAAAAAAAACTCGATAGCTCCATTTTTCGCAATTAAGTGCAGATCTTCTCAATCTTATGGGACTTTCTCAATTCACAGTAAGTTATGTATGAATATTTGAAGCAGAATTTTGTTTGCTGGAAATTTCCCCCATAGAGAATTGAAAAAATATGTTATATTTTCGTCCAGGGTCCGTTCACGGATCGCTGTCTTTTGCTTTTTGACTTTTTTTTGAATACAAAATAAACAAAAAAAAAGCCTTAAGCTTTTCATGAAATCGTATATCTAAGGTCGTCAACTATCGGGTCATGAGGATATGGATTGTCCCGAGTGGTCACAGGAAACTAGATGCCAGTGCCAGTTATTATCTTGCTAAGCAAGTGTGTGTTAGTTATAGCAATAATCGTAAAGCTTTTTATATATCTTTATCACGTCATCCACAGCCCAAATATGTGTGCGTGTTAGTCTTGCCTATTTAATTCTAATCAAGATTAATAAATCGAAAATGTATGAAAGAACCAATAACTCGCTATCACTTGTCATCAAGAGTTTTTGAACGGATTACACTTATTTTCAAGCTTCAAAGAGAATAATCAAAGAGTTTTCACCAGCTTCGTGAGCAAGATATGGATCGACAAATAGACACAATTATATAACTGATTCACAATTTTATACTGAGGAAAGTTTGACTTATATTTCAAGGTATTGCGAACAAAATGACGAAACTCCTTTGATCCTGCTTGCGGAAAATGTCGAAATGTGAAGCGAACTAATTTGAATGGTATATATGCTACACTTAGACCCCAGTGTACTTTATATAACACAGGTAGTGGACATTGAAAATTTCAATTTAGGCCACATAATTTATCTATGATTTGTTTCTTCTTCTTCTTCTGCTTCTTCTGCTTTTTTTGTTTTTTTTTTTAATTATTTTGTCGAGGACAGAAAACCAAGCAAAGTTTAATTGTTATTATGTTAAGGTTACGTAATTTGTTTTTGATTTTAGTTTTTTTTTTTTCAAAATAATTTTGCCAAACATAAAAAAAAAAAAAAAATCATATTTAGATAAAATTCAATTAAGCAATAAATGTGTACGCAATTCATTTAAGAAACGAAATCAACAAAACTATTAATTTTATGAAAAAAAAAAAAAAAAAAAAAATGTTCAAACATATAAATTACATCAAATTGAAAATTAGTTATGAATTCTCTGGTTTTGTTTTCTTTGGTTTGTTTTTTGGTTTTTTGTTTAATGGTTTTTCAGTTTTCCCATATCAAGGGATTTTGCTTGGTACTCTACCTGTAGCAAACAGCCAATGTCGCGAAACTAATGAAGACACATTTGACGATAAGGGTTAATATGATGACCATGGTTAGTGTGCTGATCCTATTCTGATCTGATGTGCCTGTAATGCGGATGAGAAGAGATGGCGTATAGCGACACAAAATTGTTAGAATAGCTGGTATAGTTATTAGAAAAACAAAAAAAAAAAAAAAAAAAAATAACACACACACTACAAAGATATATAGATATGTACGTGTTCAGGAGTATATTATAGCAAATTTTTTTCCGTTTGGCTTAACGTTTCAAATACTTTTCGTACATTATTTTGCTTTTTGCCTTTCATTCGCGTTTCTTAACATTATTTAATATTCAATATGTATATGTATATATATATATATATATATATATATATATATAAACGTGAACACTTATATATGCATGTAATTTTCTATCCTTAAGTATGTCATAGACAGCTCTTGTTCAAAGATTACCATTGTCATAAGAAAGTACCTAAAACTTACGCATTTTGCTCTCAGTTTTTAATATAATTATGAAAAAAAAAAAAAAAAAAAATGTATATATAAAAAAATGATGTGAAAACTTAAAGTTAATTATTGAAAGACTCCTTTCCGTTATTAATTTTATTTCAAATTCCAGCAGAGGAGACAATTGCGTTCAAAAATATTTATTTCGTTGTTCTCATGTCGATTATATATATATATGGTTTAACAAGCACGAAAACAACAATCGCTTTAAAAAAAAATGGCCAAATATAAAACGGCAATAGAACTTTTTACAGCTTACCATAAGGTGTCTCCTTCTTTTCCATTTTGATTGTATTTTCTGGCGTTGGCAGAGCTTCTGTTGGCAGTGGCGTAGTTAGCAATACAACTAAACTGCAATCGATGCCGCCCCAACCCATGTCACAGAAACAACGGTTGGTATTCGTGCAAACCTAAGTATGGTATGTGTATAATAGAAAAATTAAAAACAATAATAATAATAACAAAAAAAAAAAAAAAGAAAAAAAAAAAAAAAAAATTAAAAACACTACACCGTACACCACTTACTACTTAATGCGGCAATTATTCATATAACAATTTTTTATACTAAGTTACGTTATAGGGGAAGTGCTCGAAAAGCTGGTTCGATATGAAGCCCTGTCAATAGTGCTCAAGGTTGGGCCAAAAAATATCGGTGTACCAAATTTTATTGAAATATCGTAAACAATTGCGACCGTTAGGCTGAATATAAGAAATTAAGACGGACAGACAGACAGACAGACAGCCTAAAATCATTTTTTGAATCGATCGGTATAATAAAAGGCGAGTCTCTCTCAAGTCCTTTTCCGTGTTGCGAACATCCGCACAAACTTAATATATCCTTGCACAGTAAGTGGTGTAGGCTATAGAAAAGTAAATAAATAAAAAATATGAACAAAAAAAAAGACAACATATTGCTAAAAAATGATTAAAAATGACTTTTTCGCATTCAAAAATATGATAAACATTTGCAAATTGAATTTTTTTTTGTTTATTAAGGCATTAATAAAATTCAATAGTCTGTCTTCACTAATCACACTTATCATTAGGAAATGCAAATTATATTTTTGATGAAAAGATAGTAAAAAAGTATTTTAATGAAAATTCTTTTATAAGACGAAATGAAATTTATATGCTTACCCCTCGATCTGAACATTCTTGTCCTTGACTGTTAGTGGGACATTTTGTTTGGTCGATATGAGGAAATATACTAACGCATGTTTGATTCAAACATATTAAATTATCACCACACGGTGTACCATCCTTGACGAGACCATGATCAGGAAACTCACTAGAACCCACTTGCCCGCTGGTTGCTCTAAATCAAACAAATAATAAAAGTTATCGAAAGTACAAAACAAAACAATAAATGATCAGAAAAATAAACAAAAAAAAAATACGTTGTTATCTACCATCGGTACAGTTCACTATTACACCACAATATTGTCGTTTGCATTATTATTAAGTGTTAAACTATTACTTAGGAAAATATATTGAATGATTATCGGGCATAATGCCTTCGATGTTGTCTTTTGTAGAATGCATTCAACTACTACTACAGAGATCTAACAATATGTACCGAGCTTTACTTTGCTATAATCAATTCGTTTCTGAGTCGATCTGCCGATATCTGTCTATCCGACTGTTTACGATTTCTTGTTGCAAATTAAAGAAAAAAAAAAAAAATATTTGCTTCTACCCAACGTTTAACTTTTTAAATAAATATATCAACAAATGGCATAAAAGTTGCGAAGAAAAACGATCCAACAAACTTTTATATGCCCTCGCTTGGCTGGTAAGGTGGCTATTATAAATTCCAATTAAGTAAAATAGACTTTTTTCACTTGGTTTTCTTAGCTTATAGAAATTTTGAATGGGATTCGATTAATTTTTTTTTTTTTTTTTTTTTTTTTTTTCTGTGGACCCGCGTTCTATATCAATATTCTTGTAAAAAGTAAATTTTTACATATCGGCAGACTGGCATATATCTTATAGATGAAATTTGCTGGAAAATAATAATCTCGCACACGAAGGTACTGCGTGTATGATGAGCTTGAGTTGTCTAGGCCTATGTTAGGAATCGCTCTCTGCGACTTTTCACGGAGAACGTATCCTTCGTATGGCATGTATAGATTAAAAGAATTTCTAGTATTTTACATTGAGAGTAGGTGAAGGATGGCAGTCGAAAATCGTGTTCACTGCTTCACAATCAGCCTTGCCTGACTCGTAAATATTTGACTAAACGTTTATTACTAAAAAATTTTGGTGTAATTTTTTAATAGGTAGAAAGCAAATTTGCAAAGGACGGAAAGAAAGAGAGTTTGATTTGCTAATAGATCGCAGAGTACTTAAATATACTCAGTCTATACTTATGTAAGTAAGAAGGCATAACCAAAATATTGGACGGGTTAATGTGCGGAAACTTATACACAAACCTAACGAATGCGAAAGACCGCAATACTTGAAGCTACCATTGGACCATTGCTAACGTTTGATATTTACTAATTCTACTTTTTGGAATAATTGAAATTCTCAGTGTCTAAGGAAAATGTTCATGTTAATCTCAATGACTGCTTTGGCGGTTTGTTGTCTTCAGAGACACAAAAAATATAATCACGGCGTATGATTATGACCATAAATGACAATAACATGATCACGTCTCCACCCCTAACATTAGATCACCGGGCAATTGGCATCTTTAGAGCATAATCTTCTACTTATCGTCAATAGAAAACAATTCCGGATTCTTTAGGGAATTCTAAGGGCTATCGAGTTCTGTCAATACGCAATGATTCGCAGCCGAAACTCATAAAAGTAGGGTTAAAGCAAACTTTGATGGTATTTATACGCCTGGACAATTCACTTAATTTTTTCATAATCGAAACGATGAAAATGACTGAGCCATCATCAAGATCTCCAGAATCAAATATCATTAATGATTTTGTTCTTTTGGGCGCTTAAAAAGCAAAATCGTTTATCAATTCATGGAAAACAATTTTGAATGATTTTAAAATTTTGAAACGTAATGGAAAAACGTGTCAACGGATATTTTGATTATCAAAATTGAAAAATTATATTTATAGGGATTCGCTAATAGGATAAATTTTTTTTTTAGCGGCAAACAGCGGCCAAATTAGCGAACGCCTTGCAACCTTTTCGATTAGCTACGTATTCATCTAACTGCTATTAGACAAATTTTTTTGATGTTCGGTAATGCGAAGGCTTTTAGAAAAGATGTCCGTCCTCTTTCGTAATCTTATCGAGATCAGATGGCTTTAACTGCAACAAATTTCATTAGCACAGATTTTTTAATGTTAATCAATAAGAAGAACATTATAGCTATCTAAAGTAAAAAAAAAAAAAAACAAATCTACTGTGTGTGGTGTTCCAAAACAAAGCAAAAAAGAAAAAAAATATATATTCGTTCTCTTTTTTTTTTTTTTTATCGCATTTACTTGCATTCGTATTCAATGCCTTTAATTGAAATAATTGTTCTTGAATACAACTGATCCACGCCTTCGGTAACTGGTTGTCTTTCGCCTTCCTTGCATTGCAGGGTGCCGCATTGAACATTTCTGTTAATTAATTTATTTAAAAAAAAAAAATAAAAAATTGTATAATTACTTTCTCAGCAGACAATGAATGAATGAATGAATGAATGAATGCTTATAAGTTAACCGAAGCAAGTCAGCAACTATGGATATGGATAACTTACTCTGGTTCACACTTGATATAATGGTCGTTGGTATCACGGCCGCAATGGCCGTTAATTGAGCCTTTCGAATTAAATTGTTCGAAACATTGACGATCTGCAGCCGCACCGCCATAACCCCAGATAGCCTCACACTGTAAATTCAATGTTGGGCAATCGCCTTGAAAACAATAACCTATTGAACGAGAGGAATGGACAACGAATTACGGAATAAATTAACCGCTTTCTTGTTTTCCACTCATTTTTTACTTTCATTCATTTATTATTAATGGCTTTGCGATATATTTAAAAAATAATTATAAAAAAAAAAAAAGGAAATTTTTTTTTTTTTTTTTTGTGTTTTTCTTTTCTTGTTTTGCGTTGTTATTTTCTTTCATTATGCGCATCTCGGCCTTGATTGAATTTGTCATTTCGATGTTAAAATGCACTTACCAGATATTCCCGCCTTTGTATGACCGCACGGTGAACCATTCTTTTTGAATACGTCCATTGGGCAATCGCCATGGTCGCCGTCACAATACTCGGGTAAATCGCATTCGTTGTGTGAATCACGACATATATGATCCTTGGGACGTAACTGGCAACAACAAATTGAAAATTGCAATAAAACGTTATTAATATAATTAAATTTATGCCGCAAGCTGAGAGTTGCTTAATTGAACGTATATATTATATATTTACATATATAAATATATATATATATATATATATATAAAATAAAAATACATACAAGTATTCTTTATTACTTACACGGCATTGTTCACAACAAGCGCCAGTGGCACATTGAGCTTCAGACTTTAATTTACATGTAATGCCATCGCAACATGGATCCGTGGCGCACTCCTCGAAAGTGCCGCAATCGCATTCTTCGTCTTCTTCTACAATTTTATTGCCACAATTGCGACGCATTTCGATCTGATGAAAAACCATTAAAACAAATACAGAGAAAGTAAACAGAACAACTCATCAGTTTCAACTGATTATAGTGCACGCATTGATTGCTATAGCAGTGACCATTCAGCGAGCCACACACCTCCCCTTGCAACCGCACCCACACCTGTACAATAAACACACATACACAAGCATACACACACACACACACACACAAGCATACACAAGCATACACACTCACTTATGAACGTTAAGCGCGAAAAAGATGAAAAGCGAAGGAGAGAAAGATGAAGAGAGAGAAAGATAGAAAGATAGAAAGAGAGAGAGAGAGAGAGAGAGAGAGAGCGAGAGAGATGGAGCGAATGGGTAAATATTAAAAATGAAATAAAGCATCAATTAAATGGTTTGAAATTTTCGCTGCTAAGTAAACAGAGAAAAGCCCTTTAAAGTAAATATGAATGGGTTCGTGTGTGCTCACGTTTTCCTTTCCTTTCTTTTTTTTTGTTTTTTTTTCCTTCTTTTTTGAAATATTAATTAAAGGCAGAGCGAAAAATTCAAAAATAATATTTTTTGAATATATTCGCTCTTTGTCTTTTTTCTATATCTATCTCTTTCTTTTTCTTTCTCTCTCTCTCTCTCTCTCTCTCTCTCTCTCTCTCTCTCTCTTTCTTTCTTTCTTTCTTTCTTTCTCTTTTTCTCTTTCTCTCTATCCGCCGATTTTTTTGTGTTTTTTTGTGTTTTTTTTTTTGCATACGTGAGTTATCGTGCATTTCACAAAAGTGTTTAACACCAACGATAGTTTAACAAGAATTTTAGATTTATTATCTTTTTATTATTATTTATTTATTTATTTTATTTTTTCTTCCACTCTATATAGACACGTTTAAACGGTTACAGCTGCAAATGGCAACTGTTCTGTTGGCTTTTAGTGAAATAGCACCACAGTGTATGCCCACCCAGTTCACAAGCTAGCTGGCCAGGCAGCGAGTGTAAAAGCCTGCTAAGCCCCAAGTGTGTAGTGGTGGTGGCAAAAACAAAAACTGCTGCAATAGCAGCAACTAAAACATAAGATGTTGCTGATGATGGCGATGATGATTGCGACGATGACGACGATGATGATAATAATGATGATGATGATGATGATGATGATGATGATGATGACGATGATGATGACGACGATGATGATGAGAATAAAAATGATGATGATGGTGAGAGCGGTGACGATGACGATGATGATGTAATCATACTATGGTTTTATTTTCGTTTTTTTTTTTTTTTCTTGCGTTCTCGTTTTCAATTTGAGAAGGGAAGCAATCCGTGCATACATGGAAAGCACTCTCAAGGCAACAAACAAATCTTCTTTTCTTACAAAAGGATTATTATGTGTGCTAGTGTATGTATGTTTGTATGTAAGTTTTGCATGGACGTGTATGTGTAAAATTGTAAGTTTGAATGTGTTTGTGCATAAGTTTAAGTGTATGTTGGATTAAATTGTGTCATAATTTTTATGTGAAAAGCCATCTATACTCACTACTCGCTGTTAACAGTGGTGCTCTTATACAAGCTGTTGTTTTGTGTAAACGCACACATACGCCTACACACACGTATAATATGTATATATATATATATATATATATATATATATACACTTTGGGCTTTGTGTTGAATATATTAAATAAAGCAGAGCCGAGAAGCACTTAAGTGGCAAGCAAAAGCATACAGGATTTAAACGAAATGACGCCTACACATACTCGCATACGCATACGTATGCAATCATATGTATGTAACGATACTTGCACTTGTATGCACTTGTATGTAGGCAACTAAATGATGATGGAAATGCTCAGATACCGTTATTCGGTATTGGTGAGCAAACACGTGCACATCATATTACAACAAAAAAACACATCACTCTACGCCTTAGATTGACACGCGCGCAGGTGTTTAGATACGCTATAGTAGCAAGGCTTATGGATCCTATGTTGTCCTATAGACTTGCATACATATATTTAGTCATCTGTCTTTATATTAATTTTTATGTATTTAGTTATTTATAAGTGTGGAGGTCATTCGTTGCCTGCTTTGCGCCTTGAAAGCGTGCACAAAATTTCATTTTTTTTTTTTTTTTTTTGTATTTTTTTCCTTTTTTTAAAAGCATTGTTCACACAAGCGTACTTTTACGTAGGCATATATACGTACATATTTTAAATATACAAACATATGCACGGCCATAAGTAATAAACGTTTCTTGTTATTTTTTTTTTTTTAGTTTGTGCCGCGTTGTGTTTGAAAAAATTGAAATAAAAAACAAAAGAAAAAATTCAATTCAAACGAAATGAAATAAGAAACAATACAAAAAAACAAAAAAAAAGAAAAAAAGAAACATACAATAACAATAATAAGCCTTTTGGCAAAATTTTGCCTTCAAATTCCTTTTTATAAGCATCAAGTTTTCACCCAGCCACCCGTTCCGCCCCCCTTTTCTTTCCCGCTCTCTAACATTATCTCTAGATTTATTAAAAACACAAAACATTTTATAATGGTGTCGGTATGCCCCAGTGGCCTAGTGCCAAGTTTAAGTTCAAAATCCAATAGAAAAACACTTTAAATCGTTAAAAGCACTACTTCACATACACATGTCCTCTTCATTTTCCATACGTACACACACACACACATATATATATATATATATATATATATACATATATATATATATATATATGCATATATATATATATATATATATATGCATTGATGCTAGTGCGTGTGCATTCGCACTTACCTCATTTGGTTTATTGAGTAAACACAACCCGTGACCCGTACGCAAAGCGTCTATGTAATCATCTTTACTGCATTCGGAAAATTTATACGGCTGCACATTCTCCAGACCCACTATAGATTGGGCCATTATACAACCATGCCAATCACGGCAGTAACATTCCTGGCCTAGTGCACGAGATTAAAATCGTGAAACGAAAAAAAAAAAAAAAAAATGGAGCGAAATGAAATGAAATTGAAATAAATCACTTTTACATGCTTACACATAAATGTAAATGTATTGGTATATATACATATATATATATATATAAATATAAATATATATATATATATATATATATGATCGAGTTAAATGAGTAGTAAATAAATATTTGCATATGTGCAACTACTTGAAACTCGAACGATGTGCCCTTGCTATATGCAGTATGCAGTATGCAGTATAATACTTACGCCCATCGTCATGACCCATGCCAATATTATGACCAATCATATGAGCCATCGCTCCACCCAACAAATGCGGTTCATAGACATTGATGTCTACGCTGATACCAACGGCGCGTGGGGTACAAACTGTGTCCGGCACAGCCATACCAGCCTCTCCACCCACAAATGTTTCACCCCTGAAACAAATAAATGAGCAGGAAATTTTCATACACTTACTCGTTTATGTATTCATTTATAAAATGTGATATGATAGAAGGAGAAGACAATTTGAAACAATCAACTTGATCTAATATCATCAATGAAGAAAAATCTAGAATACGATATCATATCGTCATAATAAAATATATATTATAAATTATATATATGCACCTTAAAAATGTTTAAAGACGTAATCTTCTTACTTACTCACTATTTCAATCGAAAAAATATGATTAACATTTCATTTGGTATCACAACAAAAGCATTATTATCTTGAACATATATATACATAAATATATATATATAGATTTATATATATATATATTTTTGTTTCTAAATTATTGTTCTTATATGATAAACATGATGGGCCTTTAAAAAATGATATTGAATTTTTATTAAATCAAAATAAGCACAAATTTATGCTTTTGCGTTGTTAGCATAGGTTGTGTTGCAATCCACTCAAAGTCAAGAATAAGAAATTGTCTGGCAGTATTATGTCGATCGGGTCTGATATTTCACAAAGGTTTTCACATTTAAAAGTTTTCCTTTATGAATGGCTCCGTTCAAAATGCGATCAGTAGCTAAAGTCTTGTTGTCATTTGCTTAAACTCGAATTCTGGCCTGCACTGATCAGGCATCGAACCCGTAGTAATTCGTAGTGGAACTAAATCTTATCAATCGAATTTATTGGATTTGCAGATTGCAGATTTTGGCCTCTTCTTTGAATTTTTATCTCTGCTGCTTAGAAATAAAGGAGAAAAATGGCTGACTAAGGCGAAGAAAAAATTATTTCATTTTTTTTTTTTCTCTTCTTCATTCGGTCTCGATTAGACTGAACACTTTGGTTCATCAAGGATAATTTTATTTGCGGCATATTACCATTGCCACATTTTAGTTGGAAAGGTATTCGAAATTCTTTGAATTCCAAATGAAACTTTTTTAATGGAAACAAAGGAAATCGAAATTTAAATTCGTCTTGTTCGCATTATTTTTTTATAGGTTAAACGCAGCACACAAAAAAAAAAAAAACGGACGAAAGAAAGAAATGCTTTGGAATTTAACGTCTGCACCCTTCGCATAAATTTACTCAGGCGAAGCCTATTCGTTTCAGTGAGTAATAGCTTACGTCACAAACCGCTATGCAAGACAATTTTCCATAGCTTAGAATGATGCTACCGAAGTTACGTTATCAGATATGAATGGTTCGTGTATGGTCCAAACTCTCGCATCTCAGCCGGACGAGGCGTATCTAAAACCTGTATTTATTTGGTGGCAAACAATTAGGCTATTACTAGTCTGATCCCTGAATAACACAAAATCGTGTAGCAAATCTTCGATCAGTAAATCCTGATCAGTAATCTCTCGATGGGAAGTTACCGTCGCCGGAAATTCCAGAGAGACAATGCACTGAAGCCATTCCGTCAAGTAAATTATTTAAACACTAAATGGTGTTAAACAAACACTAGCACGGTCCTGAACCAGAACACTTCTTTAGTGTGATAATATTTTGATGTTTTGCCGGGAAAAACATTACAATAATGCAGTACAAAGTCTGGTATATTTAGGCGGATATATAAACTCAGAGATAGATAGCATAGGCATGTTCTGTGAAGTTAATTTTATACCAACAAGATATGTCTGTAGAGAATGAAACCAATGGCAGTTGGACAGAGTAAGGTCTGGGCCATGTGGTTTAAGCGAATATCTTCCAAGATAAGCTCTGTCAATTTTGACCGAGTCATTCTTAACGCCTGCGATCTAGCCTTGCACGCTGTAATCGCATTAGTTCTTGACAGTAGAGAGTGAGTTTAATTGTCTGCCCAAATTGACATGGCTCATGGGGTACGATTTCCCACCGACTCTATAAAACACCCATTGTTACCTTAGGTAGTATCAAGATGGACTTCGCCATTGCTGTTGATAATTGCTTGAATCATGATATCTTTGGTAAAGCACTGCCTTATGTTTGATCCAATTTCCCCACACAGTCCATTATCGAACCCCTTAGAGAGTCAATCTATTTCAATTCGTTTCAGCAATGATTCGCAGATGGAAATTTCTCGAAATAGTTCGAGATAGTTTTTTGATCAATGCTTAGTTCCATAGCGTGAGACGAGGCGTAAGATGAAGTGTGTCTTTCTTTGTTAATTTTCGCGAAGAATTATGTCGATTTTATTCATGAATCGTCGTCGACCCGAGCATAATATACTTTTCGTTAACGTCAACGCTTTCACAGCGAAAACAAGCAAGCAAGCCATTAGCACGCAGTTGAGTTTTTCAAAAGCCAATCAAGGGGAAAAGTCAAAGTGCGCTTAAGCATTTCTTTAACTTATAATTCCAAGCTGTTCGCCCACATATAGTTTATGCGGTGTTATGGTGAACAATGCTGTATATTTTTGCTTGCAAATGCATGAAAGTGTTCTTAGATGAATGGGATGAGTTTCTCCTCCTACTTCTCTCCAGATATTGTTTGGTCGTGTGTAATAATCTTGTAAGAAATATTTCAATTGCAATCTGATCGAATATATATGTTAACAATAGCTCTCTTACCAATGCAGTGCCACTGTAAACACTTTGTTATGTAAACAGATGTTCAGTGGTAAACCGTGGATTGTCACGAGAAAAGTGATAGTTAAGGTTAACATTTAAATTTTAGACCATAATTTGCCCATAATAAGGTCGTCGTCGTCGAAAGGCTTAAATAAAACTCTATAGGCATATTCACCTTTTTGGTTTCGTTACTTGTTGTTGTTGTTGTTGTTGTCTTTTTTCGTTTTTTTTTTTAAAGCCCTTAGAACGTGTTTTGACGAAAATGTAATTTTTTTTTGAAATGAAACTTTTTTCAAAAGATTATATTACGTCAATCAAAACACAATTTGATGGCTTTGAGCTGTTAACTTGACTGGGATTGTAAAAGAAACGTGAACGCAGTAGGAGGTGAATGCTTGAAAATGCATACATCTATCAGAATCGAACACGAACTACTGCAATCATCTACTTATCTAACTGATGGTTACATTCGCGCGTTATCTCTATTAAAAATAAACTGCATTAGTGCACTTCTACTATATAAAGTAGAAGCTTATACTTGCACTCATTTAGGTGTCACTTAGCGTTGAGTAAAAAAACTAAAAAAATTTTATACTTTTTTTTTTTTTATTTTTTTTTTGAAAAATGTTAATTATTTAAATTAGTTTTTTTTCTGTACGATTTGTGTTTGCTTGAGGTAAATAGAACTTTTCTCGGTCTCCACATCAACAAACAAAAAAAAAAAAAAAGTATAAAAAAAAAAAGAACACAAAAATTAGAAAATTTACTTTTAGCGTATTAGATTATAATGGCCACCTTTTTCAATGCGAAAGCTATTGTGTGTGCAAAAATGTGTGCGACCTTGTTTGGCAAGCTTTGCGTATATTGATTTTTTTTCTTTTTTTTTTTTTTTTTTTAACCATAAGTTTTTTATATAACAGAAAGCAGAAAATTTTATTTCGAAACTTTAATGCTGTGCAATACGAAAAACATACAGACATATAAACATGTCTATGTGTGCAAGTGGATACGATGATTTTCATTGAAATCAGAAAAGCTAGCAAGAGAGCAAATAAGCGAAAGAACAGAACGAGTAAGCAAGATAAAGTTTAAAGAAAAAAAAAAAACAAATAATTTTCATGGCTTACGAGTTAATTTTATGTTGAGCGGTGGGCTGAAGTGATTGCTTTTTTTTTTTTTTTGTTTTTATTTTTGTTCCACAGCTGTAGAAGTACGTATGTACGCTACATACTCATATTGATGATTTGTGTTAATTGCTTATATTGCTGGGTAATGTTTGTTTGTTTGTTTTTTTTTTTTTTTTTTTTTTTTTTTTTTGTGTGAGTAAAAAATTTTTTTTTTTTTTTTATTAATTTTTTTTTTTTTTTGTTTTTTTTTTTTTTTTTTTTCAACTCAGAGGAACGCGAGCAACTGAAAATCTCGAAATAAATGAAATAAGTTTTTATAAATATTTATTATTATGGTGTTTGTGTTAATATATACCCTGCAGGGTATGACGCGTAAAATTGCGGAGTATTGTTTACCTTCATTTAAATGCATATAAATATACATACATGTATATAAATATATACGCATTTAAGCCGCAGATCTGTGAGATCAGAAGGGGTATTATAACGCATATAGATAATAAACTGAGGTTATTGTTTGGAATTAAATGTAAATATGAACTTATTATGCATACTAGAGTAATTTAAATTAACTTTTTTCAAGTGCTGTAGCGCTTGAGATTGCGCTTCATTGGGTTTAGCACTTTTTAAAGATTTGCTTACAGCATCCAACTTAAATCCAGGCCGAAAATGAAATCGGCATGTGTCTGTTCGATTGCCCGTTTGCCCATCCGCTAGTTCGTCGACTTGTCGATAAGAATTAGAGTAATCGTACACCAGCTCGCTTAAAACTTAAGTTATTCATGTAAGAACTGTTCTATGCAAAGTTGTCGAAAAAGCAGTTCAATCTGAGTCATTTTTAACAGCCTTCGTTCTTGGACCAAAAGACGTCAGTATATCAAATTCTATTAAAATGCTTCAAATATTTCGGTTTTGTAGACTCAAGACAAGAAAACAAGACAAGCAAACGGACAGCGGGACGGGCAAGTTTAGACTTTAGAATCATTTTCTTAATCGGTCGGTATAATGAAAGGTGAATCTAAGTTCACCAATTAAATTCTCCAAAGTGTTACGCACATACGCACAAACTTCCTTGTGTCCTTGTATCAATATCTTTGTACAATAATGCTGAAATATACGATGCAATGATTTTTATAGCTGGTTGGTCGGGTCCATTCTTGAGTGTCCAGTCCAGTTGCTTCATATCCATTCTATCATTATTCACATAGATCTTGTAGAAAGAGTACGAAATAAACTTTTTATATTAGCAATTGTGTGGCCTGAGCGGGGATCCTATCTGTTCTGTATTGTTCTACTATAAT